GGGAGGCCGAGACGGCAACCGCGATGCCAATCAGGAGGTCAATCAACCCTCGTGCGACGCCCGTGAGCTCATCAATGCCAATCTCGATGCACGAGGTCGCATCAAGAACAGCAAGTCCACGCGGTATGAGGCAGAGATGGAACGTCGGCGGCAGTTCGATGAAGAGCATGGAGCACCTGCTACACCCCGAGTACCACATGTTGCCCCCGTCACTGGCTCTAGACACTAACCCTTCGCAGCGAGGCTCCGAGCCGTCCGAGGGCCTGTGGGTTTCAAGATCGTTGGGGTGAACACCTACGATGGCAAGGCAAACCCCGCCCAGTGGCTAACTCTCTACAAGATCGCCATGAGAGCTGCGGGCGGAAGCGAAGACGTCATGGCATACTACTTGCCTATCATGCTCAACCGATCTATGAACAACTAGTTTCTCAGCCTGCGGGAGAACTCCATCCGATCTTGGGACGACCTCAAAAAGGTCTTCACTGAGAACTACATGGCTACGTGCGAGCAACCCGACACCAAGTACAACCTGGAGAAGCTTCACCAAGCCTCCGAGGAGTCCCTGCGTAACTTCATCATGCGCTTCTCACAGACGAGGAACTCCGTGCCCAACATTAGCGACGTTGAGGCTAGCCACATTCACCAGAGGGCTACAGCACGAACAGCTCCGTGGAAAACTGTACCGCAAGAGGTCCACGACCATCGGTGAACTGATACAAATTGCAAATGGCGACCGACGCTGAGGAAGTTGAATGGGCCACCCGTCCTGATCACCGCGAGGAGAGACGCTATGACAATCGTAACCGCCGCCGCGATGACCGCGACCGCCGTCATGATAATCGTGAACGCCACCAAGACGACCCCGAGCACCGGCGCGACGACCGCCCGAAGGGCTCGAGAGGCCGACAAGGCCGCCGCCGCCGGCCTGACAACTCCGTCAACGCCATCAATGCCCGCGCTAAGCGCACCTACGACGCTGACTATGCCAAGCTCATGGACGGTCCATGTCCTATCCACAAGGATGCCAAGCACACCATGGGGGACTGTAGAGGCCTGAACAAAGCATTCCACGGCGAACCAGCGAAAAGGCAACGGTGCAACGACGACGAGACCAAAGACGCCCAAGGCGGAGATCGAGACAAGAGCAAGGGCCTCCTTACCAGGACGCCACCATGACCGTCACCACTATCTTTGGTGGGAGAGCCGTCTCCGAGGATAAGCGCGATCAGAAGCTTGTAGCTCGACGCGTCTTGTCGGTCGCTACATATGACGGTCCTATTGCTGATCCCAAGTACTTCGATTGGTCGAAGCACCCGATCACCTTCTCCAGGGCCGACCAATGGTCGGACATCCCATATCCAGGGTGTTTCCCGCTCATCCTGGATCCCATCATCAAGGATGTGCGCTTTCAGAAGGTCCTCATCGACGGAGGGAGCGCCCTCAACATCCTATTCGCCGGGTCTCTAGAAGAGCTAGGGTTCAAGAAGGAAGATGTCACCCCCATGGACTCTCCGTTCTAGGGGATCGTTCCTGAAAAAGCGTCCCTACCTCTGGGACATATTACATCGCCGGTACAGTTCGGCACCGTCAAGCACTTCTACGTCGAGTACGTCAACTTCCTGGTTGCCGATTTCAACACGCCGTATCATGCCATCCTTGGCCGACCAGCTCACGCGAAGTTTATGGCCGTGCCGCACTACACGTACCTGGTGCTGAATATGCCGACGGAGCAGGGGGTCCTCTCCCCTGCACGCTAACCTCGATGTCGCCTACTCCTGCGAAAAGGAAAGCTTCGCGCTCGCCGAGGCTACCGACATCTCCATCCGCATGCAGGACTGCCTCGCGACTTCGCAGCAGATTTCCCCGGAAGACCTAGAGATCCCAACCATGGAGGCCACCCCGAGCATCAACCAAGTCCAAGGAGGTGAAGGGAGTCGTCCTCGTCCTCGACGACCAGTCTAAGACTGCTCGGATCGGGGCCGACCTCAAACCCAAATAGGAAGACGCACGAGGTCGGACGCTCGCTCCTAATGACCAGCGACAAGCTGAACTGTTCGGACAAGCTCAAGACGGTGTTGCTCGGCGGATACAAGGTGCTCGGGGACTAGCCGTGGGGGTATAACCCCCGATACCCACAAGGTTGTACATGGGCCAAGCCGCTAGGGGAGGCCCAGCCCGTAAGACTACATCGCGCGGAGCACAGCACAGGTCGGCGTGCCTCACAAGACTGCGTGAAGATCCTTGACGATCAAGGATGATCTGTTCGGATATGCTAGATTCCACAATCTCTGTGATTACTATCTTATAAACCGATCATGATAGAAACAATCGACTTGTAACCCTACCCCCAAGCTATATAAGGCGGTTAGGGACCCTCTCGTTTTCATCAAATTTCTGATAATACAAACCACAAAGACACAGGACGTAGGGTATTACGTCAAGCTGACGGCCCGAACCTGCCTAATCGTTGTCTCTTGTATTCTGTGTCACCATCTGGTTCCCTCACGCGCACCTCCACCGATTTATCTGCTACCGCGAGCATACTCCTCGATAGACTGCTAGACGTATTTCGTCGACAGTCGATGATGGCGGGGGGTGATACTGTGAAGAGTCAGGGAATTTTAGGGTGGTGGTCAAAGGTGCAAGAGGAGGGGCGTAGGGACAAAAATGACAAATGGCCTGAAGCCCTGAACTGCTGGACGATGACCAGTAGTGGGGCTGCCTACAGTACCTCGCATTGCCATGCATGACAGCACGGCTGAATCGTGCGCCCGGCCCAGCTAGCTGCTACGCAATCGCAGCACTGTGCGGTGGCGCAGCAGCTAAGCAGGCGCAGGCACAGGCACAGGCACAGGCACAGCTAGCAGCTCAGACGCTGTGTGCTCGCGCTCTGGCCCGTCTGGCGCGTCGCCATGCTGCGCTGCCGTCCATACAACACAATGCGTCGCCGCCATGTTTAAAGTGTGCTGCAGTCGTAGGAGTACATTGTCAATGTCTACTTCTACCACTACCAGCACTCCAGCAGGCAGCAGCAGCAGCAGTTGCTGAGTTACGACTCCTGGATGGTTTCATCACTTGCATGTCGGTATGATTTTATCTTTTGAAACGGGCCAGGATGAACATGGGACGTGAGTCACCACCAGATGCTCACCGCCATTCCTTTTCCGAGAAGGTGAAAAGGAAAAAGAAGCGCTCCGGAGTTTGTGGCCATGCCGTGGCCGCCGACAGGCAACCGTAATCATAGACATCTGAAACTATAGGCGAAAAGGCTGGCGAAAAGGTAGCTGGCAGGGGCATCAGTGCGTTGCCCATGCTCCGACTCCGGTTGGCGATTGCCACACCCACACACTCTCTCTGAAATCCAGCAAAAGGCACTCTCCCGCCACCGGTGGAGAAAATGTTTTGCTGTGTGCCAGTGCAGTTGTACAATCGACCGGCAAATTTCAGACTTTTCAGTGTGAGTGTTAATGATTTTCCTGACGACCAATCCTGTGGACAACATGGTTTGGTTTAGCAAGAGTTGCCCCCAAAATTAAACCTAGATTTGGTGGGTCACGCATCGGATGTAGTAGAAGTATAGTACGTAACTGCCCAACTTAGTGCCAGGCTAATAATACAGCCGGTTGCTGGTCGTATGAATTCTTGCAGTCTACCTCTTAGCCCACTTATACAGTAGTTACATCTTCGCTATTAATATATGGTCCACTTATATCTCTCACAAAGTTTCTTGGTTCCTATGTCCAAGCCAGCTGTAAGCTTACAGCCCACTTCTCCTCTCTTTTCTCCATCTCAGCATTTAGTCTGCTTACATCCCCTTGTTATACTTGCTCTTAAGATCCTGTTTCTTAAGCTAATCTTCCCCGTACGCTTCGACAGGCAGGCTGAGACGACCCCCAACATGCAGGACAATTAAGACGGTGCTGAGAAATTCGCAGCTTCCGCACCACCGGCACCGAGCATGGCAACTTGCAGCGGCATCTCATAGAGTCAGAGTCACAAAAACCAGACCAGCAAAGGGAATCCTATCCCTTGACTTGACCCTGTTCACTGCACCACACTTAGCCCTCTAAAGCCAATGGCCATCCATCGCCTTTATATAGACTCCCTACAATGTATAAGCATTTAAGGTAAACGCAGTAAAACACCCGACGCCCACCGGTGAAACGCAACGCAGGGAGCCAGGGACGGACAGCGACGCCTCCAGCGAGACGGTACTGCTGTGACACCGTGACAGACACACCGGACCCCTCCCTGTGACTGTGAGGCGGCGACCCTGTCATGCCATGCGCGGGCGCAACATTCTTTCAGTGCAACAGCAGCGCACGGGGCAAACGCCCCGTGAGCGCGACCCCGGCCGCAAATATCTGCCGTGCACCTGCAGCTCCCCGCCGGGCGCCGGCCTCCCTCCAGCGACAAGAGCTGCCCACCCACCCCCGTATACAAAGCAGAAGCCGCAACTGAGAACAAACCATTTGGGACCAGACCGGACCGGAGTCGCCGTCGCCTTCATATAGATCCGGTAAAATGACCGGAGAGAAGAGAAGACAGCCTGCATTGACGACAGCATTTTAGCGGTTTTCATTTTTTCGACCGCGAGCGCGGGGTGACACAATAATGAGCTGACTGAAAGTAACAGCCGTGGTGCGAGTGGCCAATGCGCAAGGCCCCATGGCAGTAGGATACAAAAAAAAAAGATGGGCGCAACCGCGCAAGGCAACGATGGAGCTCGGCGTCGGGGGTGTGGACCAGCGGCGATGGCCGTGATGGGCATGTGAGGTAGCGCCAGAGCAGTCGCTACGCTAGCTAATCCAGGCACTGTTGTCCGGTCTTGCTTAGGAGGAGTAGAGCCGTAGAGGGGATGAGTACGCTAGCTAATCCTCGGCTTGCAGGGCAGGCCTAACCCCTTTTCAGCTAGGCAAACCAGAAACATGGCAGTTATTTCACCGGCTGGGCGAGAGCGCAGGCACCCTGGCTGGACTGGAGGCTGGAGGCCGGAGCATTTACGCCTCCAGCAAAGCCAGCACAGCGTGATACGCGACACGATGCTCCGCGATCTTTTGGGTGACCTCACTCGCCATCAGCACGCAGAGGAAAGGCAGGTTAGGCAACAAGAAGTCGCCTGGAGCCTTGAGGCGACGGGGTAGTGATGGATGGTATCCCGGCAGCAGCTGCTGCCTGCGGGCCTGCGGCTGCGGCAGCACATTGAGAAAACCTGCATCTGCGCGCAGTGTCGCTGCTCCCGCTACGGCTAGCTGCCCCTTTGGCCGGTACTCTACGCTGTTCAGATGCATTGGCCAAAGGGGTTTGCAAACGTACGACATGCCAACCAACAAAGTGCATCGGAATGAACGAGGATACAGTACATACAGAGAAGGAACAAGATGAGTACTACTAGGGTTACCCCCACGTTTTACAGTGATTTGGATACAGAGAAGGAACAAGAACGAACTGCTGCCTAATCATTGTGGCATTGCCTACGAGCTGCCATGCCATGGCGAAATCTCTCTTCAGAGTTCAGAGTTGCAACGGAGTTGAACAAAACCATAGCTCACGCCTCACGGCCTCACCTGTACCGTAGTAGTACATGCTAATAGTAATAGTACCAAGAACATCATAATACTCGCGGCTGGAATGGCTCACTACTGCTCCTCGTTTAGCTTCCTAGGTTGTCGCTCCCAGCGTCGGTTAATATGGTGAGCCTCCGTGCCGTTCCGACGAAATCGCTGAAATGGCAGAGAAATGTGCATAAGCTCGAATGATCCTTTACACTGCGTCAGCTGCAGGCAAACGTTGAGGACACGATTGTTACCTGAAGGGCTCGTCGCCGGCGTGTTTCACTTCACCGGTGCCGCCGCGGTACAGCACGCGGCTCCACAGCTCGGCGCCCTCGATGCCGAACATCTCGGACAGGCGCCCGTAGAGCTCGTCGAACGAGCTCAGCGCCGAGAGGTCGAGGTTGCGGCCGACCGTGTCGGACTCGATGAACACCTTGCATTGCCCGGGCTCAAGCCCGAGCTCGGAGACCTGCTGCTGGCTGTGGCTGCCGTCCCCGAACCACGGCAGCCGCTCCGACGACGCGTTCTTGGTCGGGCTGTTCTGGATGACGCCGGAGCCCGAGCCCTCCGAGGCATTGGGGCCCTTCTCGGCGTTCCGGTACAGAGAGCTGTTGCCAGTCGCCGCTGGGGAGATCGCGCTCGCGCCGCCGGAGCTGCTGAGGCTCATCTGCTGCTCGGTTAGTATGGTCCGTCCGAAGAGCACTAGCCCCGCCGGCTTGACGGCGTCGGGCGTCTGCTTGTTGGCGGCGCCGATGGACAGAGCGCACGGGACGTCGTCGTCGCGCGCCGGTGCGCCTCCGATGGTCAGGTCGGTGCTGATTCTTGCCGGGATAGGGATCGTCGGACCGACATGATCGGGACGGCGGAGCCCGGGGTACAGCAGGCTCGACTGCAGGTGGGTAAGGTGGAGATCTGATAAAGATGGAACGAATTGCGCATGCCTGGCTCCCTGTATGGCTGCAGGAGCACTGCCGTCCGGGAAAGGGAAGAACGGTGGGTGGGCGTGAAGGAAATGGTGGGGGTGGGGGTGGGGGTGCTGCCCGTGTGACAGTGGGTTGGGCGGGAACGCCGGGTTAAGGAGCTGCCCTTCGAAGGGGAACTCCGGGTACGCCGGGATCCGGGGCTTCTTGCGCGGCGGCGAGAAGGAGGCGAGGTGGATGGCTGGCATGCTCGACACCAGCTCCACCAGCCATGGGCTCACCCGCTTCACGTTCTGCAGGAGGTCCGGCTCGTCCCAGGTCACCTGCAGCGGAATCGCCAATTCAACAAGTGAGCACCAAGCAAGCGCAAAGCTTTGCTGGTAGCTGAGAAGTAGCAGCTACTGCATACCTGAAGAAGGCGCCACGGCGACTGCGGCCAGCGGATGGGGTCGGTGACCTGGACGCCGGCGACGGTGCCCATGAACCAGCTGATCCGGGAGGAGTCCTCCGTCTCGAACGCCATCTTGAACCGCATCCCTGGGGACCACTGCACCCTCATCGCCGCGCGGACCGCGGCGGCACGAACGCAGAACTCGGGCGTGCTCGCGCGAGGGTAGTACACCGCCTCAAACGACTGCCCGGCAGCCGCCAGCCTCGCCGCCTCGGCCACGTCCTCTGGTCGCACCTTGCCCCGTGCCTTGGCGGCCGCGCACGGGCTCACATTACCTCGCATGAGGCCCGCGTAGTAATCCCACCCGGGCGTAGGGGCTTCCTCGCCTCCGCCTCCGCCGGCGCCGCAGAACCCACGCTTTGCGCGCCGGATGCCGACGTGCAGGTCCCCGCTGTCACCGCGGAGGAACACGATGGAGTCCCCGGCGACGAGCTTCTTCTGGTTGACGAACGTGCTCCACCCCGTGGTGAGCAGGTGCCGGCGCGGCGTGCCCCGGTAGATGTGGCGGAGCTTCCAGGCGGCCCCGTGCACGTCCTTGGCGACGACGGTCTGCACGGGCGGGTCGGCGGCGTAGTCAAGCCGCGGGAAGATGGTCTCTGCGCAGTACCTCGGCACGGAGAACCCGCCGCCGTTGTTGGCGTCGGACTGTGTCAGCGTCTTGGCGAACGAGGCCGGCTTCTCCTGCTCGTCCGCCGCGGCCGCATCGTCCTCGAGGCCACCCGCGTCCGCCTCCCCGCCGCGTAGCGGGACGAGGCGGATCCTGGCGAAGACCTCGTCGGTGTCCGGGTCAGCCATGTAGCGCACTGCGGCGACGCGGCAGGGGACCAGCGCCGGGAGACGCGCCGCGGAGAGGTTGGCCGCACCGGCGAGGCCGAGCGCGTGCTCCGCGTGGCCCTGCGGGAAGTAGTAGACGCTGGCGCCCACGGGTGGCACGGTGCACATGCCGCCCGCGCACGCCAGCCACAGCTGCCGGTCCACGCACCGCTCGGCGGCGGCGGCGGCCGGTTCCGTCAGGTCCGCGAACGTGATCATCGGGAACGCACCGAGGCGAGGGCCGGTGGAGTGAGAGGGATACGGAGGTGGAGGAGACGAAGGCGAGCGGGTGTCGTGTGTAACTGAGCTACGGAGGTGGGAGCCTGTTCTCACGGTAACGGCTAACGAGCAGGAGTAAACCCAGCCCGTTGCGACTTATAAGTGCCCGTTCGGCGAGTGGGAGTGGACGCCAGGGCGTCAGGATGCTGTGCGGACAATCGTGTAGGAAACAGCGGCGACTACCAGTGGATCGACGTATGCGTGGAGCGGCGTCCTCGTGTGGAAGTCTGAGGCCCGTGAGTTTCGGTATGCTGTCATTGTGGAACACCGATCGATGTTGTGGACTTGTGGCCTGTGGGGTTTCTGGTCCGTGCAAGTGTGGAACGGGATCTCAAATAAATGCTGATATCCACTCAAAAAGAGGAAAAAAATGCTTGGCATCCCAACCTCCATATGAAACAAAAAAAAGTTTGATATCTCAACAAACATGGTATGAAGCAAGAAACGAAGTGCTCCGCTAACTCGCTAAGGTTCCCATAAGAGTTTCCACCTTTACTGGTTAGCTCTAATGGGTGCTTGGTTCGATTAGCTCTAAATACCAATGACATACGCTAATGGGTGTTTGGTTTTGTGAACCATTTCAAAAAGAATGTAGAATAAATCTCATCCTCATGCTTATAATTGTTGGCACAAAAGATTGGTTAAACATAAGAACACTGGGACGTGAAACAACACTTCACTGAGGTGTTTATGAAAAATCGAATAAACCAAGATTCCTAGATTGTTGTGTGAAATTCATCCCTCATCTGGTTACAATATTTAGATTAGATCGACTTGTGTTTTGAAGCTAATCTTGGACGTAGATCAAAATTAGGCTTGGACCTTACATGGACATTTAGTTTACTACAAAATATGTTCACGCGTAGCAAGATAACGTACAACTTATTGCATGATCACCTAAATGGCATGTAACTTGAAGACTTGTTCAATAATGAGCGAATGGATGGCTCAGTGAGGAAGGAGGTAGAAGGGACGGATCTGTGATCGAGGAACATGTGGTGTGAGCTGCTATGCTATCAGCTATGTTGGTTGCTCAATGTGTGGGCGATTTGGGTTGCATGGTTGCTGACTACTATTGCTTGGTGCGTTGGCTGGCTGCACTCGTGCTACAACTCGACTATGAGTATGGCAGTGGTATATGGAGGATAATTCTGTTGAACACTTCTCACATGTACTTATAGAAAAGAGAAAGTTCCATTGAGAAGTGAAAATGATAACCAATTTGAAGCAAGTATAGAAGACTAGAAGGTCAAGTATTATGGGTCGAAGAACGAAAAGCTTAACCAATTCTTGTAGAGTCCTTAGCATTAGATAATGCATGCGCACACAAGAGGAATGAACCGCTTTGCCTTCTAGTGATTTGGAAGGATTGAGTCGGCTGCCCCTAGCCTCACCCCGCATCACCCGGAGGGGGTAGTTACGCCAGTGGAACCAACTCACAAAGCAGCCCAAAAGCACGAACTTTTCTTGATTGAATTGGTTTCGGGATTCCCTTCGGAATCGATACCGAAATCCACTCAATCAAACAAGCAAATCAAGCAATAACTCAATTTCTTAGGGAATGGAAAAAGTGATTAAACGCAGTGTTCAGCTCCCCAATTTTGACCCATAATACTTGACCTTCTAGTCTTCTATACTTGCTTCAAATTGGTTATCATTTTCACTTCTCAATGGAACTTTTTCTTTTCTAGCATCTCTATTTCTATCTCTACTCTCTCATTTTTTACATGCCGTATTAGGTTTATCCTAAGTGAAACATTCTTAACTTTGACTACCAATTTCAAAAAATGTATATATTTACAACATCAGGTTTATGTTCTTAGATTCACTACGAGAAATACTTTCATAATATATAGCTCACATATTGTGAAACCACATGGATTTTTTTGAACTTGACAAAGTTAGGAATGTTTGACTTAGTACAAACCTAATACGACATGAAAAAACAGAGGATGTATTTATATCTTTATCTCTCTGCTTGTTTCTTGTGCACTATATCTTTTTCATTTCTCTTTAATTCTCATGCCCAAATCTAAAAACTCATGTATTATGGACAGAGGAGTAGGTTTTAAGTGAATAAATCCTTCCAAAGTTCCAAGGTTGGATACTAGTACAATGTTGTACATCATGTGCTCAGTTCGAGGGCATAAAAGAGAGGAACGAACTAAATTTGTGTTCAACTGAGACAAAGGGCAAATTGGTTCTTTTGATGCCCATTAGCCTAGACTATCGAAATATGATCAATAATAGCGTGAAAAAACTAAAATTTAGGATTTGAGTTTTTTTTAATTGGCAGATCGGGGATACAAGTTTTAGCCACTTGCATCTTGTCGGGGATCAATACCAGGGTACCCGAAGAGGAGGAGCTAATAACCATCAACATTGATTCATCCGAGCAGTCAAGAGCGCGACTACCGCTCCACCCGACCTCCAGGTGCACAAACTCCGCCTCGCCCAATACCGAGGCCACGGGATCCGCCTCGCCCGACCCCTGAGGGTGGCTCCGCCTCACTTGACACCGAGGCCACGGGCTTTGCCTCGCTCGACCCCTGAGGATGGCTCCGCATCGCCCGATACCGAGGCCGCGGGCTCCGCCTCGACCGACCCCTGAGGGCGGGCTTTGCCTCGCCTGACACCGAGGACGCGGGCTACGCCTCGCTTGACACCGAGGCCGTGGGCTCCGTCTCGCCTGACCCCTGAGGGCGGGCTCCACCTCACCCGACATCTAAGGGATGGCTCCGCCTTGCCCGACCCTTGGGTTTGGGCTCTGCCTCGCCCAAGCCTTGGGTTTGCACTCCGCCTCACCCGGCCTCTGGGGAGGAACTCTGCCTCGCTCGACCCCGAGGTCGAGGACTCCGTCTCGCCCGATGGAGACCCAAACCGCCGCCAATCGCTCCAAGTTCAAGCGTATGGGCCTGGGTCAAAGCTCTGACGCCAGGGAGGTGACCGGCACGACCCGATATAACCCGTGGTCGTGATGGGACATACCTGAGGATTCACATCAGGAACAACGTCTGGTAAACCGGTGTTGTTTTGCCTAACCCTTGTACGAACACTGACAGGTGCGTCAGTTCGCCACGATGTCCGCCAGGACGGAGTGGAGCACCACGACCGGGAGACAACACCTGTGCATGGCGCCAGTGACAGACAAGGTCGCAACGTGAAGCTGTCCCTATTGACGTTTACAGGGTGGCGGGACCCGCATAGAAGAAAAGAAGGACCCAGCGATCCTGGAGGACTTCTTCTCCTTCTGACTCTCCTTTTTTCCCCTGCTGTAACCCTTGCTTTCCCTTGGCCTATAAAAGGGAAAGCAGGGCATCCCATTAGGGGGTATCAGACCAACAATCGAACAAACAATCGCAACACACCGCATCGAACCATCAGACTCGAATCCGATCGATCCATAAAACCCCAAACACGCAGCCAAGCAGCAATCGAGCTCTCAGCACCCGTTCATCCTTTCCATCAGAGACCTAGGACCTATCTCTCTCTCGCTCGTTTGTAGCCCCTACTATGAACTTTCAGTGCTAGTAACACGAGCAGCAGTGATGAACTGGACGTAGGGACATTCTGCCTGAACCAATATAAACCTCGTGTCCTCTTAGTACACCATCCGAGACAGACGCACAATATTAGAAATTTTCTTATTGGTGGTTGGTGGCAACTCAAAACACCGACAGTTGGCGCGTCAGGTAGGGGCCTTTTGCGCGTCTCGACATCCACACCAGGCCATGGATGGCTAATCGCAATGTCAGCCGACTCCCGAGCTCGCACGCGCTCCTCGGGTATCCGGACTTCATCATCACGACAGAGGGAGAGCTGGTGCGGGCTCCTGCCACCGTCCAACCTCTCCACACCACTGGCCTCGGCACGATCGCCGAGGCACTGGAGGAGCTACAGCTGCATGCACCGGAGGCTCACGCCCTCGAGAGTGACCAGCTCCTCAGCTTCGATTACGGGAGGTTAGAGCACCAGCTCAGCGCCTTCTTAGGACCCCTACCGTCCTGGGAGGACCTGCACCACCTCACTTTTTTGTTCACCAACATCATGACATAGCTTGCTGGAGGAGAGCCGCTCTCTCTAGAATACCTCATCCGGATCGCCCCGACAGCGCTCCCGTGCAGGCTACGCACCGTGGTTCTGGTGCATGAGCGTCTCGGCCCCCACCGTGACGCACGCGACACCCTCGACGCCTGCAAGTGTAACGCGCCCTCAGAATAACCCGATGAGGATGTGTCGGACTGCTAGGCGTAGCAAGGCGGTAGGCCATGCACCGCGGTTCCGGTGCATGAGCGTCTCGGCCTCCACCGCGACGCACACGACACCCTTGACGCCTGCAGGCATACCTATGGCGATGCGAGGGAGGGGGCTAGCCACGGCTACCACCCACATCATGGCAGACGCTACGACAGCGACGAGGACCGAAGCCTGAGCCCTGGCTTGCCGGGACCTCAAGCCTTTGGCCGTCGCATCCTCATGGGCAAGGTGAAGCGGGACGAGGACGCCGGCGAAGGCGCCTCCAACCGTCCCAATAAGAAGAAGAACAAACAGCGGCGTGAGGGCTCGCTCGTGGCCATTGTCGACCGTAAGGGAGGCCGAAAGCCCACCGAGGGTACCTCGAACTACTTCGAGAGGCTACTCGAAGGGCCATGCCCGAACCATGCTTTCCCCATCGAGCACCTATACAAGGACTGCGGCCTCTTAAAGCGGTTCTTGTCCCGGGGCTTCAACAAGGGAGAGCACATGAAGGAGACAGCTAGATGAAGCGCGCGACGTCGCCCACCTCCGCTCGGCCAAGTACTAGCAAGCGTTGCACCGGCACCACGTTCGACGAGTGTGGGGTCGAGCCTTCAACGTCGGGGACCTGCTGCTCCGCTTCGTCCAGAGCAACAAGAACCGCCACAAGTTCTCTCTGCCGTAGGAGGAACCACACGTCATCT